TCAGAGTTTGCTAAAATTTTGCAAACATGCTAAAATAGAAAAACTTAGCTTTAATACCCCATGTTTAGAGGCATGTATCTCACTGAATATACAACCAAATAATGCATTTAAATACTGTAAATTGTGGTTTAAATTGTGAACTACAACTAGAAAAAATTGTGCTAATCGGACAAATAACGTAGATGTTATGACACTTCAAAGTTAGCTAAAAATTTACAAACTTGCTAAAACATAAAAACTCAGCTGTAATACCCCATGTTTAGAGGTCTGTATCTCACTAAATATACTACAGTTTAAATTGTGAGCTACAAGCTGGAAAAAAATTTGGGCTAATCGGACAAATAATGAAGAGGTTATGACACTTCAAAGTTGGCTAAAAATTTGCAAACATGCTGAAATTAAAACACACACACACAATGGGATAGAATATGAAATTACCTTTGACTTCAAACATGCCACAAACCTTATCCAACTCCACCGCAATCTTCAACAACTCTTAAACTTTGTCAAATCCAATCTCTACCATTCAGATTTATGATCAATGAGTTGGGAAGACATTTATAAAATTTCATCTCAATCCAGCCACATTTACCCTTTCGATCAAGCTACTCATAACTTCGTTCCAATTGATAAGATTTTCATCTAAATGACATCATGCAAAGTGTGACACTCTTTGATGGTACGACATGCGTATCAGTGAAATGGACGAAACTTTGAATAGTTGAGACTGGAGGCCAGGTGAGTCGTTGATCTTTGGGCAGAGAAATAGTGAAGGGTACGAGAGTTGCTCGAAAGTATTGGAGCGAAGGTTTGAAGACGCTCGACCAACGGGAAAGGAAGGAAGAAAGGTGTGGTTCGACCGTAACATAATAAGGGAATGTGCCTCCTTTCATAGTGTGATTCAAGGAACATCTCCCCCTTCATCATGTCGCTTAATACGTTGTATCGATAAAGTGACATTTGCCTTACCCCCTTCTACCCAAGGGATCAATAGGCAATCGGGTGATCCCAATTACGTGTATCCGGTTAAGCAAGTGTTGCCGCCATCTTCCACCCAGAAAAAAATGAGTGCCTAACGCGACCCCAACGTGCAAGTTCACACATTCATCAGATGGGGATCACTCATCAAGAACTAGGCCTTCATCACGTCCTGTTTCTGAATCAGGTTAGGATACGGTTCTAGAAGTTTCTACTTTCTTGTCTCATGATAGGCCATATAAAATATTAAAATGCTTATGTGAATGAAATAAGACCACACAATGCTGTCAAAATTTCAAAATACCTTTAAATCACTTCGCTTTATTGTTTTATTGTGCATGTTGTTACCGACTTTAATCGTGGTGGCAAGGCCTTCAATGTGTTTTCTAATTGTGATAAAAAATATCGTTACTCGCTTACATAAATTGATACAAATTAAGCTTAAACGAGCAAAATTATCACAAACCAACGATGTAATGAAATGCATATAAAATATACACAATATATCACGAAAATAATTAAAAAAAAATGCTAAAATAATGCATAAAAATGAACCAAACAATCACTCACATAAATGCTCTAGCACTTATAGAATTTCAGTTTTGGATGGAATCACACCACCAAGGAAGAATTGAAGCTAGTAAATGTAGATTATAATTTGAAGATTATGTGTGATGTTTTTGATTTTGGATTTCTTAGAATTAAACTAACAAATGTATGAAATTAGAGAGAATCTAGGAAATTTCGTCAAAGGTCTTTAGGCATGAAACACCCATCATATAGATGGTTTGAAATAATATTTTTACAATAATTTGAAAATCATTCAAATTAAAATTGTCTCCAAAAAAAAAATAAAAAAATAAAAAAATAAAAAAATAAATAGAAGTCTTTTTTAACAATTGTAAAAGTTAAATGTTCAAAGTAAAGTATACAATGGATTTATGGTTTACTCAAATATAATACTAAGAAAATCTTACAAATATTTTATAATTTCATAATCTTTAAGTCCACATATGACTTATAATATTAACACATGTCAAAATAATACGTTAAACATATAAAGCTATGTGAGTAATACTAAAGTTAAACTATAAAGGAAATAACAAGGTAAATAAAAGTATTATACCAAATTTCTTTTGAAACTTCATAAACTAACATCATTGTTGGGGAAAATATGGCAAAACACAAAATACAATGTTATAACGTCGTAAATACTCAATAAACTTCATAAAAAAACAGACACGTAACAATTTAATGTACGATATGGAATCAAACCCCAAACCTCGTGTCATCCAATCTCACGTCGTAATTGTCCCTTAGTCTTAAGGAATTCCTAAGTTAGAGGGATCGACATGCCAAATCAAAAGGATCAACATCTTAACTTAAAACGATCGACATCCCAACTTAAATGGAACGACATCCCAAATCACAAGTATATATAGACCATATAAGTCTCCAGTCCTACCAAATTAATTAACATGCATGATCATGAAGTAAACTCCTTTGAAAACCATGTAAATTGTACCCATTCCAAAATTCTTTCTTAAAGCATTTTTACGAATGCAACAATTAAATATCTACAGTATATCGAGCAAATTATGCACATAATACTAAGTGAATAAAAGTAAATCCAAAGTACAAGATCAAATATGGACACTTGTTATATGATATATACCCACGTCAAACATGTAGATAATCTTATATGCGGCTTTGTTAGTTGAAAGAAACGTCAATATCATCTAAAGAAAAACAAAAAGTTTATGGGCGTATTTGCCACGGAGCGTTTGAGAACTTTTCTAGCGTTTGACAAAACGTTCTGTTTTGAACAGAAAATCTTGTTTGACAAAACGCTCTGTTTTGAACAGAAAATCTTGTTTGACAAAACGCTCTGTTTTGAACAGAAAATCTTGTTTGACACTACAAGCTTCTAATGTTTAGTTTAAACAAAACGCTCAAAATCCAAATGCTACTTCATGTAGCGTTTAAGAAAACGCTATAAGTTAGAAGCTACCTACTACCAACTATTTTTGCCGAACATATATCATTGACACTAATTGGTTATTAACTTTTTGTTATGTTTTCTAATTCTTTTTACTCATTTTTTCCCATTATATATCAATTCGGGATTATAGAGGAGCAGTTGAAGCAACTAAAGACCAAACAAATCAAAACTAAATGATTTGGGAAATATATCGAAATCATGTTAGTGCATGACCGTGCGAAGAACAAAAGAATCACATGGCTTGTAAGTTTATATGAGAACCTACCATTACAAACAAAATCCCTAAAATGCTTCCATAAATTTGACTCAAACACCCTTAATTAGAATTCCAACGACTTAGGGTCACTAGAATTCACAACTTCATTTAAACATAATTGCATCATAATTAACATCATTAGCTCATGAAACAAAGTGTTTATCACCAAAAATCAAGTTTAAGCTTGAAAACTAACTTCAAAGTTTATGTTTATCCTCAACAAAATGATAACACACCCTATTTCATTTCAGTTTCCAACAATTTTGACTATAGACATAGCCGAGGATTGCCCTCAAACATACTGAAAAATCAATTGAGAGTGTAATTTGATGTAAAAAACCAAACACTTATAGAGCTTGAAAAGTTGATAAATATTAACATTCATTTCGTGTAAACTCAAACTCTTATCACATATACTTATGAGTGTATTTGAACTCAAACACGATAAAAACAGGTCGATCTTCACAATATTAACGGAGAATAATGTTCAAGAATAGTATAATAACAAAATAAATTGAAAATCAAGAATTCATCGAAATTCAATATAAAATTATATAAAAAGTTTGAACAACTGATTTCATTTTAATTTCTTATAACTAGGGCTGTGCATGTGTCGATTTGAGTCGGTTTTGGACCTAAACCCAACCCAACCCATAAATAGTCGGTTTCTGTTTTTTAGAATCCAATAGGATTTGTTTCTCGGGTTCTAAGGTTGGTTTGGACGATTTTTCGGTTTATTGGGTTCAGGCCATACACTTACGAGTTTTGGGTTTAAACTTATTTTCTAGAAACAAAGCAAGAAGTTAAATATTTCAAAAAACACAAAGTTGATGTTAAATACTTCAAAAAACATTAGTCTTACAACCAAATAGTCTATTACAAGTTACAACCAAAGTCTAAAATAATCCATTACAAGTTACAACCAGAGCTCGAGATAGTTTATTACAACTAAAAGATAATCAAGTGTGGATCGGTTTGTAGGGTTGGATGGGTCGATTTGAGTCGGTTTTGGACCTAAACCCAACCCAACCCATAAATAGTCGGTTTCTGTTTTTTAGAATCCAATAGGATTTGTTTCTCGGGTTCTAAGGTTGGTTTGGACGATTTTTCGGTTTATTGGGTTCAGGCCATACACTTACGGGTTTTGGGTTTAAACTTATTTTCTAGAAACAAAGCAAGAAGTTAAATATTTCAAAAAGCACAAAGTTGATGTTAAATACTTCAAAAAACATTAGTCTTACAACCAAATAGTCTATTAGAAGTTACAACCAAAGTCTAAAATAGTCCATTACAAGTTACAACCAGAGCTCGAAATAGTTTATTACAACCAAAAGATAATCAAGTGTGGATTGGTTTGTAAGGTTGGATGGGTCGGTTTTTGAGTAAAAACTGAAACCGAACCCGATTTTTTGGTTTTTAGAATATTCAAACCCTAACCGTTGGTTTTTTTTTTTTTTTCAGTTTTAGTTTCATTGGTTTTAGTTGGTTTTCGATTTCTTGGTTTGGGTTTGCTCACCCCTATTTAAAACTAGAGAACTTTTATTATAAATATCTTGGATTACATTCAAACTCAAACTCGATTTTCCCATCTCGAATAAGTAAACAAAACGACTTTGAAATCAAAATATACTTCTTTAATTAAGAATAAAATTTAACTAATAATTCAAAAAAGACTTTGAAATCAAAATATATTTCTTTAATTAAGAATAAAATTTAACTAATAATTCAAAGGAATAAATGGATTGAAAATGGGAATAGGGTTGGTGAAGGGTGAGGCTACAGTCGACATTTTACCAACCCCAACCCAAATCCCAACTCTCTTATAAAACCCCATCACTCCCCACCTATCTCTCTTCGTCTTGCTCCTCAGATCGTGCATACATTACAAGCTTTTGCACTTCTCTCCTTCCTAAACCCCCCGTACAATGGCCGAGTATGAAGGAATTCTTTTGGGAATGGGAAACCCCCTTCTCGACATTTCAGCAGTAGTCGATGAGGATTTCCTCAAAAAGTAATTCTCTCATTCTACGCAATCTTTGTCTGTTTCATGTTTTTATTTATTTTTGTCTCTAGTGGAAAACCGATGGGATTTTTTCGATCTGACTTAATATCATTCTGATCTGGATAGTTTTATTGTTTACGTCTCTTTTTAGCAAGAGATCTATTGTTCTCTGCCGACTAAAACCGACTAAATTTCCTATGAATGTAGATTTGTTTTTCAACAGTTGGACACTCTTTCGTCAGTAGAGTCATTGCTCTTTTCTATGAGGTTTTAGATCTAGGGTTTTAGATCTTGTAAGAAATGTAGCAGCTTAGATAGGACACGAGGCTTAAGTAGTCGAATCCAAATTTAGCCGAATAGCAGGGTCAAACCTTATAATTTTAGCGTCATGCCTAATTCGAGCAGAATTATCAAACTTTGAACCAGTTCTGTTGTTCTTTGATTATAGATATGTACTTTCAGCGTCTTTTTATATAAAAAAATATAGTATCCTGTTATAACTCCCCTTAAATCTCAGTGTATCAATATAAATTTTGGATCTTAACTTTATTCACTTGATCAAACAGTTTTAGTCGGTGGTCTTGTTTTTTTAGCACTGCAGGTATTTTGAGTTAGCCTTTAGTTAATTTCTGGACCTTTTGTTGCTTCTACTATGCAAAAGAAAGATTGTTCATTGTGTGGCTAGATGATACCTTTTGGATTATCAATATTAAATATCCACTAATGGTTTGTGGTCTTTTGTGGATCAATGTTTATTTCACTCTAATCTTTGTTTGTTTGAAATTGCAGATATGATGTCCAACTAAATAACGCCATTCTTGCTGAAGACAAGCATTTGCCCATGTAAGTGTTCTTATCTTACTTTATCATGGGACATGGATGCTATCTTATTACATTATAGATAAAGATGACATAATCATGGCCTTATTCTGGTTTGACCTGTTTTCAGGTACGATGAAATGTCATCCAAATTCACTGTAGAGTACATTGCTGGAGGTGCTACTCAGAATTCAATCAGAGTTGCCCAGGTGAATATCAGCAACATTTTTTTCATTGCTGTTCATGAAAGTGAAAAAGACTGATTTACCCTTTTTATGCTGTTTTGCAGTGGATGCTTCAAATCCCTGGTGCAACAAGTTACATGGGTTGTATAGGAAAGGACAAATATGGTGAGGAGATGACCAAGAACTCAAAAAGTGCTGGAGTTAATGTACTATTCTTGTTCCTTTTGAGTGTCATGAGTTACTGATTATATATGTATATATATATATATTCTAATGATGATGATGTTTATCAGGTGCACTATTATGTGGATGAGGCTGCACCAACTGGCACCTGTGCTGTTTGTGTTGTTGGTGGTGAGAGGTCACTTATTGCCAACCTATCAGCTGCCAACTGCTACAAGGCAGACCACTTAAAGAAACCAGAGAATTGGGCTTTGGGTAAATCTTTTAACAATTTCAGTCTTGTTTTTTCTTTTTTTTTTAATATATTATACTAGATTACTAAAATTAATTAATCATCTTGGACAGTTGAAAAGGCCAAGTACATCTATATTGCTGGCTTTTTCCTTACAGTGTCTCCTGAATCAATCCAGCTTGTAGCTGAGCATGCAGCTGCAGCCAACAAGGTAAATAATGAATGAGTAATAAACCGATTCATATGGATTCAAAAAATTTCTTATCTTTCTGACATTATTACCCTTGCTTTAGGTTTTCACAATGAACCTTTCAGCACCATTCATCTGTGAATTCTTCAAGGATGCTCAAGAGAAAGCATTAGCTTATGTGGATTATGTTTTTGGAAACGAAACTGAAGCAAGAACATTCTCAAAGGTTCATGGGTGGGAGGTAAGAAGAAAAAGATTGGTTAAAAGATGATGATGAGTATGACATGAGAAAGTTTTTTATATAAAAAAGGGTTATGGTGTTTTACATGTACAGACTGATAATGTGGAGGAGATTGCAATCAAGATCTCTCAGTGGCCTAAAGCATCAGGGACATACAAGAGGATTACTGTGATCACTCAGGGAGCTGATCCAGTTGTGGTTGCTCAAGATGGAAAAGTTTCAAAGTATCCAGTCATCTTGTTGCCAAAAGAGAAGCTTGTTGACACCAATGGAGCAGGTTTGTATTGTATTGTATTCTAGTTTTTCTCTCATGGTATGAAGAAATAGATTTGCTAAAATGGTTTTTGATTTGTGTTTTAGGTGATGCGTTTGTTGGAGGATTTATGTCTCAATTGGTTAAAGAAAAGCCGATTGAGGAATGTGTGAGAGCTGGATGTTATGCTTCAAATGTGATCATTCAAAGATCAGGGTGCACCTACCCTGAGAAGCCTGACTTTAGCTAGATTTCTTCATGAATGTGGTGGAGGTGGAACCATTTTTCTTTTAGGGTTGTTCTATTATCTCTCATTATTATTGTTTGCCTTTCATTATTATTATTATTATTATTATTAAACCCCTCTTAAACCAAATCTTGCATTAGAGTGAGAGTATACACGACTACTTGTTTGATTTGTTTTGGAGGCCTGAAGTTATGTGGTGTTTGTTGGTCTCAAAGTATACGTTTTATAGTGATTAATAAGTTTTGTTGTAACTTTTTTTTTTTTGGTTAATGTAAAAGATTATTCAAGGATGAGTTGCTGATTGTGGTTTATATCTTTGTTGTACGTTTTGTGCTTGAATGTTGATATATTGTGATTTTTGTAGAATGTTACTTTTGAATAGAATCTCCAGCTACATGGGGGAGGTTGAAAAGAATACTGATTATTGAGCTAAACAAAAAAGATACTCGCCATTCCAATATAAGGAAATCTTGGGTAAATTCCTATTCCTAAAACAAACTTTGGCCTCATTTATGAAAACCATTGAGTTTGATTGAAAGTGACAAAATAAAAACGTTAATTCTTTACATATCTGTGGGTGTAGATGAGTAGTTTTATTTAATAAATAATTTTTAGAAAAGTCTTTATATTTTGGATTGTTAGAAAAGTCTTCATAGTATCTTGGTATAGTTGTATTCTTTCTATAGTAACTTAATTGTATCATCTCTTTTTTATTAGAATCTTATTATTGTATTCTTTATGTATGACAAAAAATATTGTCTTACTATCTAGTACAAAGTATTATCATAGTGCATTTTTCTAAAAGAAATTTTTATCTTGTTTCATGTTTGATATACATCTGACTCGATAAGAATCATGAGGGTATTTGTTTTGCTTCTGATTTTTCTTATTTTTTGTTCATGTGTCTTCTCCATAGCCACGGTTCTAATTTTTTTTGTCCGATTTAAGTTCTAATTCAGTTCTCTTTTTGTTTGGTTCATAATCGATCATTTGTCAAATCCTATTTTGTTTTGTAAAAGCAACTAATGAGATCAATATTAAAGTGCTTTTGTATCTAATTGTTATGTTAAATTTAATTCTATGGTTAAGTAACGCTAAAACGGCTCCAAATTCTGCAAGTTATGATTTTTTTGGTTAAATTAACTATTATTTTACAGACTTGAAATCCAATATGCAAAATTGATATCGATTCCTTGCACATTTATAAATTATAGTGGTTTTAGCTTCATTTTTCTATGAATCTGTTTAGGCTGAACTGGTTGAAACACCTTGTCATTGTCAAACATGAGGATAGGAAATGGAAAAAGCTACAGACCAAGCAAATAATGAAAAAGAGACATGATTACTCACTTTATGAAGCAAGCTTCCCTATTGTTTGCTTACAAGCAATAATTCTGTTTATTGCAACTGGAAACTGTTAGGAGCTATTAGTATCATTAGAAAAGGGACTCTTAGGAGCTATACATATTTTGTCTGGTATGTGTTCACATTCTTGTTAATAGAATGTTGAAGTTGCAACTGTGTATATAGTTGAGTTTGTCAATTTCTTTGTGCTTTGTAAACATATTTTATGTTTTTGTGATGAAGTACGTTTCAACTACATAGATTTTGATTAGGGCAGTTCCAACTTTTTTTGTTTGTTTAGTGAGTTAAAGAAAGCGAACAAGAAGTTTATACTTTATACAAAGGATGCAAAATCTTGATTGCATTTTTTAGATTTTGAACAAGTTTCAATCTCTTTTTTGTATAAATTTTGAATTTTGTTAGGGGTTTGTCCTTCTTATGGTTTTCATTCACCTGGGAAGAAATGTTGCATCATAGTTTCATAATCTTGTCTTATGAACTTGATATTTTCTGATATATGAATCTAATTCAATATCAAAGGAAGTTGTTCAATTAATGGTCTTGGATTGCTATTTGGTGTATTGTTGATTTTTTTTACCGCATATAGGGTAATATTTAGTTATAATCTTACTGTATTCTCTTTGTATAATAAAAGACATTATCATATTATAATCTTATTATTTTCTTCTTGTTTAACAAACTGTTTTGTCTTACCATAATCTTATTATTTTCTTTTTGTTTGGATAATGATTTTGTCTTATTGTAGTCTTACTGAATTCTCATTGTCTCATGCCTCCTGTAAGTACTATCTTACTACAATCTTATTGTATTCATTCTATCATAATAGAGTAGTATATTATTATCTTACTGTAAATTACTGTGTTTTTTTTTTGTTTGAATGCAAGTATTATTTTATTATAATTTTGTACTATCTTACTATGTTTCTCTATCTAACAAATGTATTATCTTACAATAATTTTACTGTAATCTCTCTCGTTGACATGATATGTCATCTTATGTAATCTTGTTGTATTTTTTTTTTTGACATATGATATTATTTTACTATAACTTTATCGTATTTTTGTATGATAAAATGGTTTTATCTTAATGTAATTTTACTGTATTCTATTTGTTGACAAATAATATTATTTTACCGTAAGACAAACTTTATTGTATGGATATGAATGTTGACCGATTAAAAAACACATGTGAAAGATAAATGTTGCATAAATAAGGATGTAGTAGGCATGTGGTAAAACTTTGTTAAACTGAATATCAAGCACAATAATAAAAAAATGATGTAGGTGATGCCAATCAGTGATAAACTAGGGAAAGAATATTCAAACACGTCAAAATGACAACTAAAAATTGCAGTTAGGAGGATGATATAGTTTTATCAATGGTGCAAAGAGGAAAAGACGACCATGATGGAAATGAAAAGATACCATAAGGTTAGATTTGAAGGAGTTGACTCTTATCGAGGACATGAACTCATATTGTAGGGCATGAGCCATGAAGGCTTAGTCTAAATCTAAACATTGGATTGATATAACTCATTTTCACTGGTTATGCTTGCCATGATTTTTTGCCCTCTAACTATAATCTATCATATATATATATATATATATATATATATATATATATATATATATATATATATATATATATATATATATATATATATATATATATATATATATATATATATATATATATATATATATATATATTCACGTTGTATTGATATTATCTATTTTCTGTTTTATTGCTAATATTTGTTGCCACTATGTGTGTATTTGTACAATATTTGTATGATTACCCTTGCTCATTTTCACTTTTTTTTTTTATATGCATGTATTTGCCTTTTCTTGCTATAGCCACACAATAATGTTTATTTTTCATTGTAGGTTGACGTTTTCATATGCAAGAGATCATCTCGAGTGGGTTCACATTCCCTTTCTCACTCTCTTATATTGGATGTTATACATGGAAGTAGTTGCCCGATCTTTAGGTAGGTGCTGCCGACATGTTACCTCCCTTTTTCCCAATCTTATGAAACTTGAGTCTGTTGTTGTAAGTTTGTGGTTTAATTGTTTAATTATATGGTGTATATCGTGATGCATTTACCCCATATTAGAAGGAATAAGGAGAGCAGAATCTAATTCTTTGCTATTATCCCTAAAAATAACCAAATCCTTTACCATCGATTTTGTCAATTAAACACACCATTAAAGTACCTCATATTCAAATATCTATGGATTCTATCCGAAACAACATATTAAACGTGTCTTTAAGGTTTTAAGTTTTTAAAATTTAAATTATCAAACCAAATGGGCTATTTTAAGTCAACTTGTATGATCGAATCGGACTGAAATAATTTTATATCGACCCATTTGATTCAATTTATTATCGTCTTGGATTCATGCTAGTTTCAAGTCAAGTCAAGAATTATCACTTTATCAACCTACTTTTAATATAGTGGTCATAACTGATATGAATTATTTAAAGAGTGTTTTCCGGTTGACATACCTAGTACTCATTGACATTTTTTTGTGTAAAATGTGTTGCATAAGTCTAAGCCATTTTAATGTCGTGTTGCACACTAGCAATAATTTACTTGTTGATAGTGTCCCTGAAATATTTTGCTATAGTTAGTTACTCTGTGAAATCAAAATATATATCAAATAACACATTGTTGCATCAAACCAGATAAAATGGATATGTTGTTACGCAATCCAATGATCTTCTATCAGGTTATTTTTTTGAAGAAAGTTTATTAACTTTTAATTACAAGTAATCGAAATAAATAAGTGAGGAGATGATAATACAATAATTAATCGTTTCAAACTTCTATTTTAGATTCGTCGATTAATATTAAACTTTTAATTACAATAATATAATTTATATAAATAAAGATTTTATAAAATTGCTTAAATTGTTAATACATGTGACCTTTAGACAAATGAGTAGTTATGGCCCAAAACAAATGTTTACACAAAAAACTGTGGCATTTGGTGCGTGCGTAAAATATTTTTGGGGGAATGAATTATGTCGGTAATTGGAATGCATTATGTGTTTGGCTATCATGGAATAAAATCTGTTGTTTGGTTTGCATATTTGTCAAAAGATTGTGAAATTAGTTATATAATATGATCAAAATATAATTTTATTGATTTTTTGTAACTTAATATTATTTTTAAAAAAAATGATAAAAAAAATCATCTATTGAACTCTTACCTACCTAAACCTATGTTGACTTGTTGGTATGGGTGTGAGCATATGGGGTGTGGGTTTGGGTTTAGGTGCATGGATGTGGGTGTTACGCTGGGGGTTGGGGCCTTGGGGGTGCGGGTGGGTGTGATTATGGGCGTAGGGTGGGGTGAGGATGTACGTGCATATGTGTAGGGGTGATGTGGGGTGAGGGTAGCGAGGTAGATGTGGGCATATTTGTAACATTCAGTTCAGACAAAGGATTGCTAAAGTTTAAAAATTCAAGATTTAAACCTACTCACGACATGAGCCCTTGGATGTCACGTCGTGAGAAAGATGGTGCAGCAGGGCATCATTTTTGGGCATCACAACGTGAGTGTAATGGCTCACAACATGAGGTTAGTCATGGATGAAACCTTAATTTTGTGGTTTTATCCCGTATTTAAAGGGAGTGAGGGCTAGGGTTAGCCCACCCTCATCTTCCATCAAGCCTTCTGTCACGTTCTGGAGCCTTTGTGAGTTTCAAGTTCATTGCTTTATGAGTCTATAAGCTTAGATCTACGTTTTTATGATTAAATCCTTCATTCCCATGATGAAATAGTGGTTAGAATCCATAAAGTTAGCAACTTTATGGATCTCCAGTGCCTCTTGAGTATTATAAGTTCTAGATCGGGATTTTGGTGGAGTTTTATGACTCTTGCATGAATATTTGGTATCATTTTCTCATTTGCACTTAAGTAGTGTTTGGGACATGCATGTCCAAAAAGCCATGATTTTTATGATACTCTGGATTGGCTAAGACCCTAGGAAAGATTTGGTTGTTTGGCAAAACGGAATAAGAACTTCATTAAGAACTTCTGTTCAGGGACGTTCTCACGACGTGATACCCTGGATGTCACGACATGAAGATGGCGATCCTCGTCTATTTTGGACTTATTAGGTTACAACATGGCCATTAGAGTTCATGACCTGACCAACGAATCATGGACATGACCAAGTTTGACTTAAGGGTATTTTGGGAAATTGATACTAATTTAGATTGGAAAATGTTTTAATCACTAGGTGTCGAGTAGTTCCGG